TCCCTGAACAGCGCAGCCCCATGAGCTGGCACTGCCCAAGGGGGACCAGAGCAAGGTAGCCACTGCACCGCAGCCCCTTGCTTGCCCGCCCACACGGCCCTGCTCACCATGGTGCCCAGCCACCTGTGCATGCAGCCTCGGTGGCCTCAGCACTGCGAGCCTGGAGCGCGGGGCCCGGCGGACACCGGCTCCCGCTGCCTTGCCCCGCAGAGGTCATGCCAGGACCCTGCCTACTGAGGCCCCCCGGGGATGCCCTGCCAACTGTGCTGGGCGCTGTGCCCCATTCCTGCCCCACAGCCTCTGAGCCCAGGGGGTCCTGGGAGGCAGGCAGGACGCCGGGGGAAAGGGGCCGAGCTGGAGATAACTAAAAGCGGGTGCTGTCCAGAGCTTCTGTCAGGCACAGCCAGGACAGCCCTGCGCCATGCAGCCCTCAGGGCAGTGGCAGGACCTGACTCACGTGACATGGGAGGTCATGCGAGCCTGGCCTCGCGGAGGTGAGCAGCTCCCCTCCCCTCCTCCACCTGCCTGTCCCAAGTGAGGGACCTCAGGCCACAGAAAATGGCTTGGCGGGCCGCATGGCGCCCCGCAGGCCATATGTTGGACAAGCCTGAACTAAAGGATCTTTTTCGTGCCTGATTTACATCTTGTCTCAATGTTTTCAACAATATAACTATTAAGTAAGAAGAGTAATTGCTTGAAAATAGCAGCTTACCTGTACCCCAAACTAGAAGTGCACTGATACTTCGGTCTGATATCAGATTGGTACCGATATAAAGAAAACTGGCCGTATCGGATATCGGACCAATGAGGCCAATTAATTTGGTCGATAAATGCCCGTGCTGCATGCAGCACAGCACTTAGGCAGCGAGGAGCACAGCCAGCAACTGCTAAGTCCAATGTGGTGGAAGGGGAGGGGGGAAAGAAGGGGCAGGGGGAGGCAGATCAATGCCCCCCATGGTGAGGGAGGGGCCAAGCACTGCCCAGGCAGGGCGGAGGGGGGGGGCAGGCTGGAGACGGGGCGGGGGGGGGGGGGGGGGGGGGG